TGAACAAATTGCTCTCGTCTCAAAAATAAATAAAAATATATAAATAAATAAATACATAAATACATAAATAAATTTGGTGCTGAACAAATTGCTCAGTGGTCAAGAGCACCGACTGCTCTTCCAAAGGATTCAGGTTCAGTTCCCAGCACCCACATGGCAGCTAACAACCATTTGTAACTCCAGTTCCAGGGGATCCAATGCCATCTTCTGACCTCCCCAGGCTTTGCACACACATGGCACACTTACATATGTGTAAGTAAAACTCATACACATAAAATAAAAATAAAATCTTTAAAAACACTTCCAGAGCCACAGCACAAATGACTTCCATGACAGAGTCAAGCCACCCAGATCAAGTGACAGGTTTAATACCGATTAGCTACTCATAATAACAATAGACAGAATGAGCTAATTATTACCAAAGGATACAGAGTGTGCAGGAGGCAAAAATCACACAGGTGCCGTAAAGAGGAGACAGCACCAAAGGAAGAAGGAAGGTTGGAAATCCAGATTGGGTTGAATTCATGTCATGATGATGTAGGAACACATGTGAGGTCTGACAGGCAGTGACACTCCAGCCTACTGATTTGACTTGCTGTTTGATTCTTATTTTATGATAAAGGACCAAGCCAGACCCACTTCTTGGAGACAGGGCCCTGTGTCTTTCTGGAGATACGGTATGAAGTAGAGGTTCAGAGCCAGGCTTGGGCAGACAGGCTAGTCTAGAATCCCAGGTCAGATTCCTGAGCATGTAACTTCTGGTTGATTCCTGAGCATGTAACTTCTGGTTAAGTCTCAACTCTGGTTGAGTCTTAGCTTCCTATCTTAGAGGAGACTGAATGCTTAACACTCGTTGGCAGTACTGTCGCTCCAAAGCTAGATGTGGTCCCTAGAAATCTGTCTTCAGCATCCAATGGGCCCAATGGTTTATCAAGCACAAAGTGTCAGAGATCGTTGGTAACTTGCACATGGAAGAAAAATGGGGAGGGGGCAACAGGAGCCCCAGAAGTATGTTAGGAAATGTTAGAGATGTGTCTGGGGTCCCAAGAAAATGACCACACTATCCAAAGTATCTCAGCAAGGCAAAAAGTTTTATTCTGCAGAAGAATGCAAAGCTTCTCTAAATCCAGCAGCAAGCTCACCAGCAGAGGTCCCTAACACACAGGGGTATCCCTGACACAAAAGGGTTCTTTGCCCCACTCTAACTGGTCAGAGCTTGGCCTCACATTCTTACACGGTTGGCTAATTCAAAATGGCACAGCTGACAAGCAAAATGCATCTTTTGTGAGCAGGATGCAAACTTGAACACAAATTTTAATCTTAGAAAAATGCTGACCGGGGAAGGGAGTTTTGCCAGGTGATGTTTTTGCAAATTTCTTTGAAGATGGAGCTTTCTTTGTCTCATCTAACTCTTTGATAGAAAAAAAAATAGAATATTTCATTTACATTTCCCACAGGAGCTATCACTTGGGGGAGCCTGCTTCCCATGGTGGGGATTCAGTTTCACCCCATGTACTGATTCTAGTCAGGGGACCAAGGTGATGGGGCCCCTCCCAAGGCTGAGGCAGGTGAAAGTCCAGTCAGAGTTAGGAGCCCCAGTGAGATTCGGGTCACAGCCCCAGTCACAGCACAGGAGCCAAGACTGAAAATCCCAACCGACCTTGGGCTGTTGCTGCCTCACCTCATCAACATGAGTTCAAGTTTAAGTGCTGGAGATGCAGCAATGATACAGAGATGCTCTCTATGCTCAGAGCTAATAGGCTAGCACAGACTTGTCCTAACTGTGGAAGAGCCTCTCACTGAGCTCTGTATGAAAAAGCACAGGCCAGCTCCCACCATGTGTGGGACAGGGAGGGCTCTTTTACCAGAGGATCATAGAGAACCAAGATGAAAGCAGAAACAGAAGTTCTATGTGGAACAAGGTAAGCTATAGAAAACCCTCAGGAAAGAGGGACATGTACAGGAAAGCCACCAATGTCGGCAAAAGCAGAGAAACTAGAGAGATGAACAAGCAGACAAGACTGGCCACAGAGTTGGCCCTGCACAGACAGTAAGAGATGAGGTTGCAGGCAGGTGTGGGGGTCCAAAGGATGTACCAGAGCCTTGGCATTAGCATTCAAAGTCCATGCTTTATCCTGACATTTCATGGCTGGTTTTATTTCCTTTTTAATTACAGTAAAATTCTCATAGTCATGTTAACATAGACTATTTGTGTGTGTGCGTGTGTGTGTGTGTGTTTCATGCATTCAAAATGCTGTGTAACCAACATTTTCTCTGTGTGTACAGTGCATGTTTATGCATGTGTGTGCATACAGGAGCACATGCACATGTGTGCACATGCTTGTGGGGGTCAGAGGTTCAGGTTGGTGTCTTCCTCAATCACTTTCCCCCTTCTCTTGAAACAGGTTCTCTCCTTGAACCCAGAGCTTACCGGCTAGACAGCAAGCTCTGGAGATCAGCCTGTCTCAACCCCCAACCGCAAGCTCTAGGGATACAGATGTGCACGAACACACCCAACATTCACATGGGTGCTGGAGATTTAAACTCCAATCCTCATGTTTGCATGGCAGGCATTTTAGATGCTGATGATGGTGATGATGATGATGGTTGTGATGGTGATAGTGATAATGATGGTGGTGGTGAAAATGATGGTGATTATGGTGATTGTGGTGATGGTGATAGTTGTAATGATGATAATACAATGATGGTAGTAATAGTGATGATGATGATTGTGATGGTGGTGGTAATGATAGTGATGACAGTAATAATAATAACAGTGATTATAGTAATACTGTGATCATGTTCATGGTGCTGGTATGATGGTAATGATGGTGATGATGGTAATTTTGATGGTGGTGGTAGGGATGATGATTATGGTTGTGATGACAGTCATGATAAAAGTGATGATCATCGGTGATGACAGTGATGGTGGTGGTACAAATTTTGATGATGATCATGATGATAGTAGTAGAGGTGATGATGGTGACATTGATGGAGATGGAAGTGATGATGATGATGGCTATGATGAAGCTCATGACAAAAACTTCAAGTCACCTCACCAGATTCATTAGATACTGAAAGGGAACCTGCAGTTTGATTCATGGTCTCCTACATTCTTAACCATGTTATGTGGCTCCTGGCACAGACTAGATTTATTATAAGCTAAATTCATAGACAAGAAACCTCAGGACAAACCACATGTCCACTTCAAAAGGACAAGACTGACAATGAATACCAGGTTTTCTGATTCCCACAGACGTGGGCTCGTCTCAGCACATACTTTCTTCCTTTTAATGGAGAGCAAATACATGCAGGAGTTTGTAAAATGAAAGCCATTGCAACTTTGAAGACCCAGCTACTGCAGATAGGTCACTAAATGAATGATGGGCCGAGACCAACAACGCGCTGACTGGAGAAACAGCAACTCTGAATCAGCTGTGAAGCGGTGTGCAGCAGGCGTTCCCACCATACACCTGCTCTCACCGGCCTCCCCCAGCACTTTTAGGAGTGACTGATGAGTCCATGGTGCTTGGAGCTAAGGAGGCTCTGCCGTTGTATCCCAATCAGGATGTGTTACCATGTATGGAAGACAAAGAAACTGAACTGTCTAAACTTTACTTTGTTTGGGCTCTCTCTCTCTCTCTCTCTCTCTCTCTCTCTCTCTCTCCTCTCTCCCAGTACAAATAAACTGCTTCCTGCAAGAGCCAGGGCTTTGTGGCTCCAGGCAGGGTTAAAGGTAGACATTTAGTTAAGATCTTGTTTCAAGTACAAGATTAGTTACATATATTTTTAAGAGTTTGGTTTAGTCTTTTAATGTTTAGATGGAGGTGTCATGGGTAAGAGAGGCCCAATTAATGCAATCTATATGTATAGTGCCCAAGGAAAATCATGGCACAACTTATCTTAAATTAAGAAAAGCTTAGCCTTTTACACCTCATGTGCAGTTCAGTTTCTTTGATTCCTGTATATGGTAAAATATACACTGATCGTGATGCTCTGTGCTACAAGATCATAACAGGGAGAACTCTGTACATACACCCAGGCACAGATCATGTTACTCTTCTTTTCCTTTGTTCTGGAGGTTCCTGAACACAAAACGATCGCTAGCTGTTTCTTTCCTACCACTTACTGAATGCCTTCTGTGTGCAGGGGAAGGTGGTAACTCCAGAATTTTGATAGAATAGGACTCTGGGGGCTTCTGGCTACATGTTAACTGTCAGGGGTCATGAGTCCAGGGCTATGTCCCGAGAGCACACGTGCAAGGCAGGCGGACAGCTGCTGTTAGGCAGGGCTGGTTTAGGGTGGAGCCTAGGGGACTAATGGAGATGACCAGAGCCTATTAAAATCCCCTTATGGCGCCACCCTGGCCGAGTCTTCATGAGCCGCTGTGACAGGTGTTAGGTGAGGTACTAGAGTCATTGTTACACCCAGTCACCAGAAGAACCCTTCACAGGGTCCTTTGGTTTTCTGTTGCTCAGTTCTGACCACTGGAAACACCACCATGGGGCAGGGACAGCCCCACAGATCAGCAAGCACTGCGCTGAGAACTGGATGGAGATGGCAGGAGGGGACAGTTGTCCATCAGCTTCAGATACAGGGGCTTGACTGGGGGCTACCTGCTGGACCTCCCGTTCTCTGGCAGGGAGGTGCCACTGTGCCACTCCTCTTAACCCTGCAACAGGCCCCATCTCCAGCAAGATGGACAGATGACACTGAAAGCTGGCTCTTAAGCCTTTCACTGTCATGGCCTCCAGTCTCCTTGACTATATAGCCACACCAGAGACACACAGAGTAGTGAGGCAGGACCTTCAGAAACTGCGTGTGCCCCTTGCTCCCTCTGCCTCACGTCACGCCCTCCCCTCACCCACTGATTCTGATCTTGGCAGCCTTACTCTCACATTTGAATAATCACAGGCAGGCTTTTATTTTTTAATAACAACTTGTTTAAGAGCAAAATACTTTACAAGAGAGTTTAACTCTGTAATTTAAGTCTATTCAATTCATTTTTCAGTACAACTTGAAATTAATTCATATTACAGATAAGTAAAACTGAAAATTCTGTTTTTGATTATTTTGAAATTTTTCACTTGCAACAATGCCCAGAACTGGATGAGTCAACTGTGTTTTGGCACACAGAAGCAGAGCTCAAGCACAGGGCCGTGCTCCACACTAGGACACACGGATCTGCAGATGACCAGTGCAGCTTCAGCCAGGCATAAATGTAAAAATGCAGTTCTTCAAATACCAGCCCACAGCAGCCTAAGACAGGATCCTACTGCTGTGCGATGGGCATGACTGTTGGGACTGGCCTAATTGCAAACACACTCTGGGCACAGCAGAGTCCACACTGGAACAGGAGTGAACATAGCTCAAGTGCGCTACAGTGGGGGTTGCTGCATGGGGGCCGTGCTTGAGAGACTGAACACCAGTGATTCCCAGTGTGCAAATCCCAGTCCAGACTGGAACCCACTGCCCGGTGCTGCTCCTCTGGGGAGCTCAGTCCTCCACCCCCGACAGTTCTACCCTTCTCCCCTCATTGTTACAGCAGCATCTTCCTCCTCTGTACACTGCCCCGGAGCTCCGGCTCCAGTGCTGATTCCTCGCCTGTGGCAGCGATTACTTTGGGCTGGCCTTTGGCCTGGTGCCTAGGGGACAGCCCTGTGTGGGTGTGGAGCGGCCTGTGGTTTGGGGCAGCCTTGCCTGAGCCTGCGGTCCTGCTGCTGCTCCTGTAGACGCTGCCTGCCCCGGATCAGGGCCTCCACGTACCACTGCTGCTCTTTCCACTGCTGCTTCCTCTTCTCCAGCTTCTTCCTTCTGGCCTCCAGCTTGCAGTACTCTTGATCCAGCTGCCTCAGCCCCTCCCACAGCTGCCGGTTCTCAGTGTTGACTCCCCGGCAGAACTCGGTGTGAGCCTGCTTGGCTGTGGCCGCCAAGGCCTTGGCCTTCTTCTTCAGCTCCCTGGTGATGTTCTCTCCCGACTCCAGCAGGTTCAGCTCCTGCACCTGCTTCTCCAGGGCAGCCCTTTCCTGCAGGAACTGGATGTGAGCCTCACGGTCCATGAACCGGGTGTCCGCTGGGATGCTGGCCTGCTCCTGCTCCAAGGCCCGCAGCTTCCTTTCCTGGCTCTCCCTGATCCCTGCAATGGGCTTCAGGGTGCGCAGCTGCTTCCTCAGGCCAAGCTGGACCTTCCTGCCCTGGCTCAGCTTCTTCTGGAGGTCCGCTGTTCGTGAGGCATAGGTGGAGACTAGCTCCTGCCTCCTGTCCTCCACTTCCTGGCACCCCTTGAAGTGCTCTCTCCACAGGGAGTCATACTTCTGCTGGCTCTGCTCCTTTTTCTGCTTCAGGTACTCCAGGAAGGGCTGGGTATCTGCATCCTCGAATGACTTTTCCTTCTGCAGCTCCCTGGAATCCCGCAGCAGTACTTCCTTCCTGCTCTTAACTGGCTTCATCTCCTGCTCCAGCTGACTCACCACAGTCACAGGCCTCCTCTTCACTGTCCTCTCCGGCCATGTCAGCAGGTTTGACTTCAGATAGTGGTTGAGAATGGTGATATATGGAGACTTTTGAGGGGAAGCCTGGGGGCTGGCAGGAGCACCCTCATGGGACTCCAGAGGTTCACTGGGGCAGCTGTCCAGTTCAGTGACACTCAGGCTTATCGCTGAGGAGCAAGTGCTGATGGTCTGGCCCAGCCAGTCCTGGGAACTTTGTCTAGATGGATGTGACTCCTTCTTCTTCTGGGTCTGTAAAACTAGCTCTGGCCACTTCACCCAGAAGTCACACATGGCCATATTCCTGGCCAGGGTAGGTCTGTACTTGTCATGGAGTGTCAGCAGGCTAGCTTCATCCAGCTGTGCAGGAGGTGCAGACATTTGGGCTCCTTCTCTGTAGGGGAAGAGGGTGCCTTTCCTGCCTCTGGTATCCCAGGTGGTGGAACTCTTATCTTTGGGACTTCATTTTTCTTGCCCTCTCATAGTCAGGACCTTGCCCTCCCAGATCCTGCTACAGATGCTCAGCACCCTTTCCTGGCTCGTCCCAGACTCCTCCCCTACCTTCCTTTGTAACCACACTCCATCACAGTCCCCGCTCTGCCCCAGCTCTGGAGTTGCTGACTGCCTGCCTAAACTCAGAATGTGGGCTGTTGGAGGCCAGTCTCCATTGGTGCTGTGGCCTGCTGGGTGGGGCTGGAGGAGTGAGTTGGGGCCTGGAAGAACGAAGGTGGGGCTAGCAAAGAGAAGGCGGGGCCTGGAGGGGGGAGGGCATGGTGCAGAGTGAAAGAAGGCTGGACCTGGAGTAGTCCTAGAGATCCATGTGGAGAATCAGGCTGTGGGAGAGGCACAAATGTTTTAATTTGCCTCTCTGTGGGAGAGGTCAAATGTAATCTTGGGGAACCAGGTGCCTAGAGGTCCCAGGTGAGAGGAGATGTTCACTGTCTTCCCGGTGGATGTGCTACTAACTATCCAAGTGAGGTTTTTGGAGTCCATAGGGGGAGTTAGCTAGGGCAGGTTCTATGAGAAAACATAAAAAGGCAACAAGGGTTAGGGTGTAGCAGTGATTTTTAGCTTGAGAGGATTGTCTTTTACCCATGTGACCTTCCATATCTTGTCGGCTTGGTCCAACCAATCCCCTGATGCAGGCTTCAGATACGAGTGATGTATCCAGGTCTTGACACCATCCACTTTGACCATGGTGGGGGTGGTGAGGATCATGATTTATGGCCCCTTCCAACGAGGTCTAGGGGGCTCCTTGTGGTGTCGCCTTACCCAAACAAGGTCTCCTGGCTTGAATCCATGCAGTTGGGCTGGTGGCAGTTCGTAGATGTGCCTCAGCAAAGGGAAAATGTTTTGTGCAATCTGTAAGGCCTGTAGGGACTTAAGGAATTGGGATTCAGGCACATCAATTAGCACATCTGAAGGCAGTTTGGGAAGCAAAGGGGGTGGTCAGCCATACATGATTTCATAGCGTGTTAGGCCTTGAATATAGGGGGTATTTCTGACCTTATATAGGGCAAAAGGTAGGAGGCCTGTCCAGTCATAGCAATTTCTAGGGTTAATTTGGTTAAGGTCCGATTCATTTTCTCTACTTGTCCTGAACTCTGGGGGTGGTATGTGCAATGTAGCTTCCAATTAGCCCCCAGTATTTTAGAGATGAAGGCTGGTCCATTGTCTTATCCGATCACAGAGGGGAGTCCGTACCTTGGTATTAGTTCACTGATGATCTTCTTAACCACCGTTGAGGCAGTTTCCCCCTTTGTGGGGAGCGCTTCGACCCATCCTGAAAATGTATCTACAAAAACTAGGAGATATTTATAGCCATACCTGCCAGGTTTAACCTCAGTGAAGTCCACCTCCCAATGGACTCCAGGCACAGTGCCCCTCTCCCTTCTGGCTGGGCACATGACTTTTACTCTTGGATTAGTAACCTGGCAGGAGCAACATCTGGAAAGACAGCTCTCAATCATTTTGGTTAGATCAAAGATGTGGTATGGAGTCAGGAGTTCTTGTAACTTTCTCTTTCCTAGGTGAGTCCCTTTGTGAAGTTTATATATTAAGTCCTCTGCCAGCTTATGCAGCAGAATGAGCCTCCCATCAGAGGTGTATCTCCATCCATGCTTGATCTTGGTGTTTTCCAGGAAAGTTAAA